GTTAATTAACCTGCCACATCAGCCAAAATTTAACGGAGGGACTAAAAAGGGGCCGGATTTGTAAACAGTAAGGACCAAAAAGGGGATTTTTTCGGTATAAGGACCAAAAAAGGGCTTTTTCCTATAGTAGAGGGACCAAAAAGGGTATTTAACCAATTTATATCAAAATAATAATTTCCAAAATAAAAAAAAAATACTTAAATAGAAAATCTGTCATTTATCTTTTGTTTCTTTGTTTTTGTTTTTTTCCTCTTTTTTTTTTGTTTCTACTTTTTTCGTTTCTTTCATTTTTTAGTAAAAAAAATCTAATTTAATTAAAGAAAAAAAAAACCATATTGATGGCAAAGTGACGAACAGCATAAATGAAACAAAAAAGAAAAAAAAAAGCTATGACTTGACGAACAAAACAGGTGAGAAACAAATGAAGAATAAAAATATTAAAGGCGTAGATAAACCATAAAAAGAAACAACTAAAAAAAGACCAACAATTACCCATAATGAAAGAAAGGGAAATAAAAAACACACCTGAAGAAATGTAGAAATTTGATATTATTTGTTTGCAGAAAGAAACTTTAAGAGAAAACAAGATTTCCTTCCCTTTTTCTTTTTCTGCAATCTTTTTCCTATTTTTTTTCTTTCTTTCTCTCTCGATCTCTCCAATCTTCCTTCTCTCTCAATCTCTCAACTTTACTGTCAATTTTTTTAAAAAATCCTCTTAAAACCAAAAGAGCCCTGTTTTTATAGACAAAGGGAAAAACCCAATCCTAATGTGCTTCTAATACTCAATCCCAATCCCTAAGATAACAATCCAATCCTATTTGGAATTGGATTTCTTAGCTTTCCCCTCATCTACCCCTTTTCAAGTCTAGATTCATACCTTTTGTGTTTGGAACTCCCCACTTTGAATCCATTTCAAACTCTCCTTTTGTGCCTCTTGTTGATGACTTTCAATTTCTGAAAATTTCTTCAAAACTTGAGTAGATTTAGGGATAAGCCAAGGAATTTTTGTGATTTTTTCTATTTGAGAAAGGCTGGGGGCAGAGCAATGAGATGAGTCTTGGGCGGCTAGGGTTGTTTATTTCCACCTACAAGCAAAACAATGTCGTTTTGTTGATTCCTCCTTTCATCACTTCAAGTTTCATTTTTTTGCGAAAATAGTCCATAGATCTCTAGTTTTATCAATTAGCCCCAATTAAAATTGGGTTATGACAGTTGCCTCCTCTTTACTTGTCCTTTTGTAAAAAAAGAAAAGTAAAGAATAAAAGAATAACCCAATTTTAAGCTTGAAAAACAAATTATAAGTGCAGGCTTCATTGTCTTCCTTGAGATGTGATCTTCATTTCTATTTCTTTAAGAATGCGATCTTCATTCAGTATGTGACTTCTAAGATGCGGTCTTATCTTTTGCGAGATGTGGTCTTCGTCTCTCCTTCGTCCTTAGATGCGATCTTCATCTAAGATGTGACTTCTAAGATGTGGTCTTCATGTTATCTTCTGTGAGATGCAGTCTTCATCTTATCTTTTGTGAGATGCAGTCTTCATCTTATCTTCTGTGACATGCGATCTTCATCTTATCTTCTGTGACATGCGATCTTCATCTAGGATGTAACTTCTAAGATGCAGTCTTCATCTTATCCTTTGCGAGATACAGTCTTCATCTTATCCTTTGCGAGATGCAGTCTTCATCTCTCCTTCTTCCTTAGATGCGGTCTTCATCTAGGATGTGACTTCTAAGATATGGTCTTCATCTTATCTTTTGTGAGATGCAGTCTTCATCTCTCCTTCTTCCTTAGATGTGGTTTTCATCTAGGATGTGACTTCTAAGATGTGGTCTTCATCTTATCTTTTGTGAGATGCGATCTTCATCTTTCCTTCTCCCGTAGATGTGGTCTTCATCTAGGATATGACTTCTAGGATGCGGTCTTCATCTTATCCTTTGCAAAATGTGGTCTTCATCTCTTCGTCTGTGAGATGCAGTCTTTATCTCTCTTTCTTCCTTATATGCGGTTTTCATCTAGGATGTGACTTTTAAGATGCAGTCTTCATCTTATCTTCTACGAGATGCGGTCTTCATCTTATCGTTTGCGAGATGCAGTCTTCATCTCTCTTTCTTCCTTAGATGCGGTCTTCATCTAAGATGTGACTTCTAAGATGTGGTCTTCATCTTATCTTTTGTGAGATGCGGTCTTCATCTCTCTTTCTACCTTAGATGTCCCAAAATGAAGCAGCATGACAAGTTCCTGTGATATCCCAGTCCTTATTTGCAATTAGTTAAAGAAAATAGGTCCTTATTTGTATTGAGTCTAAAGTTAGAGTCCTTCATTTCATCTAAAATTAGGAACTAATCTATAATATTTGTTAATTATGGGATTGCATGTTATTT